GTGAGACGTCTCTTCCAGACCCAAAGAGAGAGAAACGTGTAAACCAACATGCTGCTGCATGACTGAACGGCTCTCTGGACTTTGTTTTGATTCTCCAGATGTAAAACTTGGAGCGTCACAGTCGATCTCAGATGAGAAGCACGAAACTCCCACAGACTGAGATGGCAAACAATAGTTATCAGTGTGACTGATAACAAGGCCTGTTTTGTACAGTCTCCCTCTGTATTTCACCTCACGTTCAACTCGTTTGTGTCTCTCTCTCTGCACAGAACGAAGGTCTGACAAAATTCATTCTGGTTAGCAGAACGTTTCCATGGCTAATTACAGCCTGTCAGTCATTCTGTAATCTTTCCAGAGTGACGCTGTTATTCAGTCAGATTCATTCAATGTTTGTCACCGTCAATCACTGACACTAATGCTTTATTAATTAGTCTGTTATAGCAGGTGAACAACTTATATGAAAGCTATTTAGAACAGATAATCCATTTACAGATCATCTGGCTCATGTATTTGCTCAAAGTTTGTTTGATTCGAGAAACAAATATGGACGTGTTGGACGTTAGATGAATTGACAAAATGCTTATATAAACTGAAGCTTTAAAGCAATAGTTTGCCCAAAAGTGAACATTTTCTGAAATTGTGCTCACTCTAAGGCCATCCAAGATGTAGATGAGTTTGTTTCTTCATCAGATTTGGAGAAATATAGCATTGCATCAGTGTCTCAGCAATTGATGCTCTGCAGTGAAACAAATCCATCAAGACGTTTTTAACTAAAATACGAGTCCATAATCCATAATAATGCTGAAAAAGTCCATCTCCTGTTGTCTCTCACATCAAAATCCACCCACATATTTATTTGATCTGTTTGGACTGTGCTTGATCTGTGCAGATTTCTCTCCTGATTCAGACCGGACCACTTTTTCACTGGAGGAAACAACATTATAGATATTATGGACTTCATAATTATGGATTATGATGTTGAATTAGTTTCTTACAAACACGCAGCATTTGTCTCAAGACATTAACTGATGGACTGGAGTGGTGTGGATTCCTTGTGGATGTTTTTATCAGCTGTTTGGACTCTCATTCTGACGGCACCCATTCACTGCAGAGGATCCATTGGTGAGCAACTGATGCAATGCTACATTTCTCCAAATCTGATGAAGAAACAAACTCACCTACATCTTGGAGAGCCCGAGGGTGAGCACATTTTCAGCACATTTTCATTTTTGGCTGAACTATTCCTTTAATGCACTGCAATGTAAAATAACATTGCTGATCACAGAATGTTAGAAATCAATAAATTGTTGTGCTGTTGTTGTCATTCTTAGCTGTTCATGTGGTGTTGAGGTATTGGTCTGCAGTGAACTTTCTCACTGTCATGTATGTGATCCTGTATGTGAATCTGCTGTCACGCATCCATCCATCCAATGGCTGATGTTTGTACAGGACTGTTTACACCGGTTAAAAACAAGCATGATGTGTTAAAGGTCAGTGGAGAGCAGGGTTAGTTGTCACACCGTTTATACTGCAGTGAATATTTGTCAGAGTAGCATTAATTTGAGCCAGATATTTATAGAGACGCTACATATCACAGCATTTGCACATTTGGTTTGTCACCAAACACAGGAAATAAGAAAGTGAGGTGATGCACCGTAATAAACTGATGCTGTAGAGGTGAACTGATCAGAGGAACTATTTACTCACTCGGATGTTTAGATTCTAACGAAAGCCCAAAAAAGGGGAAGAGATGAAAGTATGAGAAACACGTTAGACGAGTGAGCATCCTCTAATCAACAAGCATTAATTACTAGCATGTTAATCTATCTATCTATCTATCTATCAAACCCCGCCCCTCGGCTGATTTCATTGGTCGGCTCAATCATGGTCACCTGTCATGAAAAGTTCATACTTTGTGAAAATCATGAATGGACTGACTGATCAATGGATCTGGTTTAGGTTAGGGTTATGGGTTAGTATTTGTTTAAGTGTTTTGTAGACAATCAGCACTGTGATTGTCATGACCAGCAAAGTCTCCAGATGGGTTTGCGCTGAACAGGTTTTGGTGGGGGGGGATCATGCGACTCTAGCTTATTTGTTCCAACAGTACTTCTAAAACGGGGAAATAAATCAGAAAAAAATCACTTACTTATCTTGACTGAAAAAAAT